ATGCGGAAATTGTGATACTGTCTCCCTACATTGGATACTAGGGATGTACTTCCTATTTCTGTTTATTAATACACTCATTCGACCTTAAATATTCCGGTTGGAGATACCGGGTCTAAAATTAGTATCTTCTGAAATCAGGGTCGTGCAGAGCGTCCGCGGGATAAACGTGACAAGTGAAGTATCAAGTCGCTAGAACACATTTACTCACTAGTGAGGCGCCACTAGTAAAGTTAAATAGGTAGTAAAGTGTCATCTCGAACTTTGATTACAATGTTATGTTCGAGAAAGGATAGTGAATAGTTATGCATTCACACCAATGCAACACACCTGTCGTATGATTGAGTTGCCACAATTCCTCTTGGGTCTAGTTACACGTGCTTTCAACTGTTCAAAGTCAGGAAACAGATCTGACTGTGTGAGCAATGCAACAAAACTAAAAACTATCTTGTAAACGATGCAGAGGCTTGTGCTGCGATCTCACCCAATTAGAAGTGTTACCTTATCCTTTTCTATTCAACACTACCTTTTTTACCACAATCTTCATGTAACCCCTAGATCTATAACCGGATTAGTTAATCTGTTTCAGTCACAGTGTCAGAAAATACATACCACAACGTCATATTGGAGAGGTAAGGAAAGGTCCAAGAGGAATAAAGATGAACAAATATCGTTCTTTAGAAAAAGCAACACATACGTTGCTGACCAGAAAGGTGAATCTGGTAATGACAGAAAATCAAACAAAAGAAAAAACGATTTTCCATATAGACATGATGAACTTCAAGGCAGCAGTGACTATCATACCAGGAGAGATCACCATAGAAATCACTCCATGAGAAAGGATAAATACAATGTTGGACAACACTATAATGAACAGAAAGAAGCTGTACAATCACCTGAAATTCAAGACACTAATGAATTGGATGATAATTTTGGGAACCTGTCAAGAGATGTTAAGGGGACTCTTCCAAAATGGCTACAGGATGAAAAGTAGGTACCGGCTGTGACAACAGTTTTCAGAAAAAAGTGACAAAGTACAGTCTTGCACAACAGGATAAAATCTCACTGTTAAGTTATCTTGGAGACCCAGGAGCTAGAGATGATCGATTGCCTGGATTGTATAGATTTCAGATGTCCCTGGTTAGAATCCTGGTATAGTCGGTAGTGATTCCATATTTTCAATCCTTTTACCGAAGTCTGTTCGAACATTACAGAATAACAAAACCTAGGTTGTAAAGAGTACTTTCTTTGCGGGCAAAGACTTTGAAAAAAAATGGAATACTTTTATCAGATCTAGACTGGTATTCTTGATGGTGATCAGCTTCTCTGTTCATTCAGATTTTGGATTTCCCATTACTAAAGTTCTAGTTTGGCCATTGCATTTTTCACTACTGTTACATCATCAATTCTAAAAGACACTTAGTATGTTTCCCTAGGAATCAGTAATAATCCTTTAGTGACCCTTACCTGGCATGTACTGTCCCTTAATGACACCTGATACTGACTGTTCTGAGGAAAACCCAACATTTTGTGCTATATTCGGGCACCTGGTACTAGTAGTTCACCAAGAATGGCAGATATTTTGTGTTACCTAAAAACACCGGATACATGTACCGGTTGTTACTTTACAAAAACCAATACTTATAGATACATCACTGATTTGTACTATTCCATACATTATATACATGTATGCTTTTCCTCTGGGAACCCAATAGCTGGATCATGTTTGCTTGGGGAAAACTTATATCAAGTGGGAAGGGGAATTAATTACTGGTAGCTAGCCTGAGGGAATATCTTTCGTCAATAACTAGCTAAAAATAAATGTTTATAGTACTACAGTAAACTTGGTAGGTCAGTTTGCCTATCATTATGTTCATCATCTCCACCATCTTCTAGGGCCTAACTTATAAATGTAGCATAGAAATATTTAGTTTTTAAACCTAAATACTATAAATAAATGTCTGATATTACAGGAAACCTGACTGTATTTAGTAAAATTTTGGAATTGAGTATGGATCATAGCTTTAAATTTATTCCATTACAGCCTTGGTGAATCTTATGAGATGGAAAAGCCTCATCGCCCACTCTTAGTGGAAAATCGACGACACAACCAGGACTGGTACTTCAAAAAGATTGTGAAGATGGGAAAGGAAGGAAAGGTATTTGATAGATTAATTAGCCAGATAAAGGTAAAAGAAAAAAAGTCATTCCTTAAACAATTCTTACCATATATGTATTTGTTATTTTTATACATATTTCTGAATACAAACAGAATATTGTTTCATGTCACATTGTATTTAAGAAATAATCAACATAGGTGTGTGTGACTGAATATTTGAAAAATATTGATTGATGACTGATTTGGATTTTTTGCGGACATTTTGGAATCCCGAGTTATTTATTCCACCATAGTATACATGGTACATGTATATGTCTATGTTATGAAAATTGATGATGATAATCCAGTAACTTTAATAAGGCTGTTAACAAACATTTACCATGTACATGTGATGCCTGTGTCTTTATTTTACAACTAGCTGTACATTTTTATCAATTTTTCTATAACTGGATGATATATTGTAAGTATACAAGACATGATAAGGACAAAGAAGCATGACCCTTCACCTTGAGCAAGTTGAGCAAAGTTTTTGTATGGCTGGTGAAAGTCAGTTACTTGGCACAGCTCTCCTTGATGGGAGACCCTATCTCCTACTTTGGGCCTGAACACCTCACAAGCTTCACAAGGTTTAGAAACCCACAATAATGTTAACTAGACCATTCCAATTTCATCCTGAAGATGACAGTAGAGAATATGCCACATTGACACATGATTCCAGTGTCACTGTCAAACACAATATCATGCAGAATATATAACAGAGTGTGTCTGTCTATCTGACAAACATATGCATGCTAAAGAAAATTATTTTTGTGTTTGTTTAAATCTTTGAAGATATTCATATCGCACTGTGACACCCTGTAACACCTTTCTGTTATGTGTCGGATACAATCTAGTACTTCCCAATGGTGAGTCTGTGGGTGGACTTTTCCAGCTTCTGAACTGATCTGATACTTTTTCATGCCTGCATGAACGACATTAGGAGTCAGGACATGATAGTATTGTAAATGAGAAGACTTTATTCTTAGAGCATCAATACATTTACATTTATTTAAATGTATATACTTTTAAATGACAAGCAAGTAAGTAATAACGTACAGATCTGTATATGTTGTGTTGTATATAGATTTAAGACATACCTGTATACGTACTGTATAATGTGTTAATATATTTAATACTTATCACTTCATTATATAATTGACAGGTGCTGGAGGCCATTGCTGTCCTAGATGACTGGATGTTAGTTAGAGACCGGGTCATGCCCAATGAAGATATTTATACAGCCATCATAGGTATCATTGGACGTACCGGAAATGCATCCCTGGCATTTGCACACTTCAAAAAGGTCAGTAAGGCATAAGGAACACAAGTTAAGTGACATAAGGATCACAAAGTTAAGTGACATAAGGATCACAAA